CTTCTGTAGCAATGTGAAAGCTCAGGTGAGAAGGAATTCACAGTGTTTTTCAGATATCGTATACCAACTTGCCAGTGGCTGCTTTGTAGCTGCAAGGCTGGGGCTCCAGCTGGAGGAGGGGACCATGAGTTCTGCCATGGTGTGGATGGGTCAAGGCCATCCACACTCATGCATAGGTGTTTGAGTTCTCAGACACTTCACATTTAGAAGGCAGGAAGATACAACTAAGTTCTATATATATATAGACCAAGGGATCACTCTTCTCTTTAGAGCTGTCTCCCTTTTCACTGGGCAGGGATTGCTTGTCTTCACTAGAAGCTCTTCTGTGATCCTCTCACTCCCCCTTGCCTCCTTCCCAGTCCTCCATCTGTGCTAAACTGTCTATCCCTCAACTGTCAGTTCCCAACTGTCATTTTTTCACTCACTCTCCACAGAATTCTATTTGAACTGCCTGTCACTCAAAGGTTCTCAGACTCTGTGAGGCTTTAACCCTTGATCACCCATCACAGGCAGGGGTGGCAGATGATTCTTGGATCTCTGCCCTATGCTGTGCCAAATACTCCGTCTGCTGTGATCAGTACAGCTGAGGCCTATTTTTATTCCAATCATTTATGTGTGTATTTTGTTTGCTGTTATTTCCCTTCCCTTCCTCCTTCTTGGTGCCTCTCCCTGATCTAAGGACCACAATCAAAATCCCTTCTCTACCACAGACTTGAAAATTAATAAATTAAAATGGGTAAGCTCTCTTTTTGTATCTAAGGTTTTTCATTTGACTTAAGTCTGTGGTATACGTGTGCACCTTTTATAGTTTCACAAAGGCCTCCATCTGGCTCACTCTGCTCACTCACCCCTAAGCTCCCTGTGCCCACAATGATTCTGCAGTCAAATGACTGATCCTTACAATATAGCATATAACAATATTGCCTGTGAACCTGTTGACTAATTACAGCAAGCTGATTTTACTCCGCTTTACTCCGCTACTGAATCCCTTTCAGGATCTTTTCCTCCCAAGTGCTGAATGATTGTAATCTTTTTTACAATTAAAAAAAAGGAAACATGTTTGAAGAACCTGGGAAATGGGTTATCCCCTGTTCTGGATGTGGCTGGAGTCCCCTTAAAAGGAGAGGTTCATAGCTTGGGGGTGCACCTGACTGCATCTCCAATAGCTTAGCATGGATGTCACTGGAGTGGCCATGGGGGAACCCTACCCAGAAGGAGAGGTGGAGAAGGGAGCTGCAGAGCTGATTTCCCTCCCTTCTCCTCCTGTCTTGGAGGCAGCAGATCCTTCTTGGCCTGCAAACACCCCACCCAAAGAAAGAACTTGTTTCTCTAGTGAATGAGCTGGCTGGCCCTAGACAAAAGAAAAGGACCTGGTCTAATAACACTCATTCCACTGAGCAGGTCTCCCATTTCAAATATTTAGGCATGGTCCTTCAATCTTCAGGGGGCAAAAATGCCCACATGTAGTATGTGGCAACACAAGGTGAAAGAACTGTCAATAACATCTTTAAGCTTTATCATACAAAAGGGGTTCGTTTCGTTCCAGCTGCCCAAAACCTTTTTCAGGCAAATGCAGACACACAAATGCTCTATGGCACTTTAGTTGGCCCCTCTTCTTCTAGTTTTGCTCCTCTTGAGAGGGTTCAAACCAAACTCCTTAGAGCTATCCTTCAGGTCCCGAGATGTGTTGCAAATCCATTAATAATATTAGAAAGTGGTACCTTGAAGACGGAAGCCAAAATTACTTTGGCCTCACTCCATTATTGGCTTAAAATGAATTTTCAACCAGAGGGATTAATCCATTTGTTACTATCAGATAACTTTCGGTCTAAATGGTTGAAATCAGTGCACAATAAATTACAATTACTTGGATTTCCCCCTCATGTGATTCTAGATATAAGCTGGGATCAGGCTAAGTTAGAGAATAATGGATATAGAGAGACAAGCAGATCTTGATAGATATCCTAAATTCAGAGTGCCTAATCAAATTAGATACCGTTCGGTCCCGATGGCATATCTAACACACCTTGATATAAATAAATATAGGAAAGCCTTCACACTAGCTAGGCTAGTGTGAGGCTCTTCCCTCTACGGTGCTCGAGGGCAGATATAGAAGAGTTCCCCTTGTACAGAGACTTTGTAATTGTGAGTCTGGGGAAATAGAAACTATTGAACACATGATTCTTATACATAAGTGGTACAATGAGGTTTGAGATAGATTGATTCAACCTCTTATTGAAGAGATGCCTGGGCAGACAGACTCGGATTGTTGCAATAAACTGTTATCTGATGAAAATCACTCTGTTACTAAGATTGTGACTACGTTTTGGGTGGCATGCTGTTGCATTCGAAAAGTACAGCTTAACTTGTAAAATTGCAAATCTCTCCTTTTTAGTGCATTTTGTAAGTGAATCTGTTATGTGTAGTCTATATTTTTATATTGTATATTCTGTAATATTTTATTTTGGTGCCCCTTGCTGAAGTGTTTGGATTGATCTGGCTGGATGCTGTAATAAAATTTCATTCATGCTCTGGGAATACTCCACTTAGACAAAGCCTAAACTTATGGCTCTCATCTCCTGATGCTGATTATTTCACAAAGCAGCAAGTTAGAGTCCTGATGAGATCTCAGAGGTAGAGGGGAGGATGTTCTCCAAATGGTTTGCAGTGTTCAGTGCCACAACAACATCAGCACTTGTAAAAACCAATTTTCTCCTCTGTAATTACCAATTCGACTCTGGGTAACTGTCCAGCTATATAATGCCCAGTGGATACCTGAAAGCCACAAGATAAATTAAAAAAACCCCTCAGAAAGTGGCTATAAAGAGTCCTGCATAATGCTTAGATTTGAGTCCAGTAGCACCCTAGAGAAAAACTAGAGTTTCAGAGTATAAGCTTTTGAGAATCAATGCTCCTGTTGTCATAGTGCTCAGAAGTACCACTCTGATATTAAATAGTTTAGTGAAGGACAAAATAGCTATGGCAGTGCTCACATCTGAGAAGGAGTACAGACTAAGGGAACCCAACCTTTTTTGACGGATCCTTTAGGTACATTGTAGAATCCTATATGAGAGGGAGAGTTGTGGAGCTGAGGACGTGGGAATCCTCCTTAGCAGTCCACCAGTGACATTTAAGTAAGATGCATGAAACAGCATTAAAATAAAATTATGAATTGAGAAAAAGCATGCAGTAAGGCTGTAAGTCATAGCACCAAGAGGTTCAACTTTTATTCTAAGTAGGTTGCAAAGCTGCCAGGAAGGTAAATGTTGTTGAAGGAAAATAGGGTCATGTGGGACTTGAAAGGAAAGGTTGTTGACAGAATGATAGTACTCTTGGTGCTGCTGCTTGGGCTGCTGCCTCATGTTGTTTGCAAGGTGTGTTTGATCTACCATAGCCAGAAGACTTGTTGCATTAGACCCCATATAAGAGACCCCCTTCCTATTTCCCATGAGTTTTATCAGCCGGGAGACTTTGGCATTGGAATGCTTGTTTCTCATGTCTTGTTTCTGGATCACTCCACTAATTTCAGTGAAGAGCCATCTCAGATGCTGAGCAAGGAAGTTATGTGAGGAATTCTTCATTTTCTTCCCCCATCATATGTATTTTTAAGGGCACAATAACCAAACTTGAATATCAAACAATGAAAAGATGGATGGGTATTACACCTTGAATATGAAAATTTTCACTCAGGGAATATGTAGGGTTTGCTCTGCTTTTCTGCATAAGACTGTTTTTATTTGTTGTGTTTGTAGTCTGTTTCCTTCAAAATGTCATTCTAATATATTTATAACAGGCAATCATTGCATTTGTCCTGCTTTCCATACTGGGATCTTGTTTATTTCCTAATGTCTACCATGGCAGTACAACTTCCTTGACTACCTCACTTCCGCTCCTCCCTTCTCATGCAGTATTTTTCTCTTCTCATGATCCCATGGTTTTCCATTAGATTTACTTTATTTTCCCTTCACTCTTATAGACATTGTACTATGCTCTTCAGCCTGTAGCTCTTGTTTCCTTCCATTTACTTCCCCATTCTAGCTCTGGGACTTTGCCCATTGCTTTGGTGCTTTGGCATCCAGCTTGTGTTTGCAATAACTTTTTCAAATCAATTTCATGAGAATTAACTCCCCTACTACCATCCTCATGTCTTTATGTTTTGAATGACTGGAAATGAGAAGGTCCACTGGTCATTTACTGTGCAATCCTACGCAGTTTTCCAGTAGCTATGCACAGAATCACACTGTTAGAATATAAATGGTGGACTGGGAATGAACCTAGTTTAATTCTGAAGTCTGTGAACCTCTGCCCCCTCCTATAATGTGTAGAAAATTACTGACCTAACCTTACAATGTTTGAGTAAGGATCATGTATCTGAAAGATTTTGAACACAACTCTGAAATCTTTATAGCATTTCACGTTCTTTATTTATTCAATATTTATTCCAAAACCAACATTTTCTTTTTTTAAAATAGTTTTTATTGATTTTCTACAAAGAAAAAAAAGCAGACAAGCATAAACATCTACAAGACAGACTAACATGAAACAATCAGGAGACTTGTACCCATTGTAATTAAGTTGGTTTACATACATAGAATCATTCTTATATGCACCTAAAACCAACATTTTCAAATGACATTGCATGCTACTTGATCGAAAACTCATGCACAGTTGTGAGAATATGCATTATGAATATAATGTAGAATACTGCTGTGAGGTACTTTTCAGAGGCACAGTCCAGGTTAAATTCGGAAATTAGCAAAGAAACAGGTTTAAAAAAATATGTTATTTTTATGTCACCTTCCTTTTGTTGTTTTACAAGTCATTATTTATTTGTTTATTTATGTTGTAGTGGCCTGATGCCAAAAAACTACCAGCACATTCTGGCCTTGATATTTGCTGTTAAGGAGATCAATGAAAATCCCACAATTTTACCAAATGTCAGTTTGGGGTTCCACATCTGTGACAAAAACTACAGGTCACAGAAGACTTTTCGTGGCACTATGGGTCTACTTTCCACAAAGCACAAGTTTATTCCCAACTACAAATGTGATGTTCAGAACAATCTGATAGCTGTCATCGGGGGACTTGTTCCTAGAATCACCATCAACATGGCCACCATCTTAAATTCATACAAGATTCCACAGGTAAATTTAGTGCATAAACATCTGGAGGAATCAGAACTTGGGCTGTGGTCACACGGAACATTAGCCATGCTAGAGAGATGGAAGACAGGCGGATTTTCTGGGTACGATCTCACCAGCACATCTGGGAAGTGTAGCGCTCCCGTGGCTCAACCGAGGCTTCCCGCCAAAGACACGCGGCAAAAAAATAGTACCGCGGAGGTACTAGTTTCCAGAAACCGCGGGGCAAGGGCAGGCGTCTGATCACGTTTCCGGTGGCATCTGGCGCCCGCCCATGTCCCCTTGCAAAAAAGGGGTTCCCCCCCAAGTCTCCGTGGATGCGCACAAGCACCCAACGGAGCATGTACATTTTTGGTGTACACGAAAAAAAACAGTTTGCCGCACCGCACTGCTTCTTTGTTGCGCGCAGGACCGTCCTGTGATCAGCACCTCTCTTTACCCACGGGACCTCCACAGGAGGTCTGATCGCTTAACCCTGCGTTAGTTTGCCCCGGGGCAAACAGCCACGCTCCCCCCCCCACATTTTCCTGTCCGTGTGACCGGAGCCTAGGATATGAAATTAAAGGAGAAGAATGTGGGCTTGAGAAATGGTACTGAAAGGACATATTTAGGTAGGATTGTCAATTCTGGATTGAGCAGTTCCTGTAGATTTCAGGGTAGAGCCTTGGGAGGGTTAAGTTTGGGGAGGTAAGATAGCTCAGCAATTATGTGATATCATGGAATGCCTCCTCTGAAGCTGACATTTTCTCTAGGAGCAACCCTATACTGAAGCTAAGAAGGAAACAGATGTTTATAAAGGGTATAAAACTGGTGTAATTCAGACCTAGTTCTTACAAGCAATAATGAATAAGGCTGTAAAAGAAAAGCATCCTAGAACATCAGTTCCACCTGAAGTAGGTCAGTTCAGCCCATGAATTGCAACCTCATATATTCCTCATTAAAAAAATATACTTAATGCATAATGAAGGCAGATATCACTTGTGAATGAAGCTCTAAGGCATTTTCATCATGGTAGAAACTGATTTGTTTTTTTGATGTAGATTCTCTCATTTGGTGTGTATTGAGTTGGAGGCAGCCATCCTTTTCTCTCAGTCTCACACAACCACTTGTTACTATACCTCCTATTTATTCAGGTCATATGGTCTTCTGTATAGCCTTTTTCTGCAGTAAAATAAGACCCCTCCTCATTTTGTCACCAGCAAGGAAGCTGGTTTCAGCACACAAGTTTCCTATCACTCTGCTTAGTAGAAATCAGATATGAATTTACAAAACACTGATAGATGTCTTATAACTTTCTGTGTAAGCATGACATGGATTCTGGAATAATCTACAGGGATTAACTGGAATAATATACAGGATTAGCAGAGTATATTATTTCCTCGATACGAAGTGAGAGTTTTCTGAAGATTTCCACAATTTTGCAACCATTGATCCATTCATTATTATGGGGTTCAGCTGAGATGTCCCAGGGTTCTCAGTGCAATGGGCCCAATTCCTGTTCTTGCACAAGGGACAAATCCTTGGCAAACTCACAAGTCCATAAAAGGAAGGAATACCTGGCGTTTCTAGCATCCCTACTAAGCTGTATATTTTAGCTAGGAGAAAGTATGCCTGATGCACAACTGGATCTTCAGCAGAGAAGGTCCTGCTGGACAGAGCCAGAAATCTTCATATAAATTTATGCTATGTATTTTTCTTTCATGAAATAAATGTCTTCAGAAGACACAGAGTGAAACTATTTAACAAAAAGAAACACATCTGAAGAAATGTGTTGCATATTAACACATGTATTACTGTCACAAAACACAAACAGTTTGTACTTTACTAAATAAAAAAAGCTTCAATATATCTTTTTTCCAGCTCTCTTATGGATCATTTGCCTCAGAGATGAGTGACCAAACATTACTCTCCTGTGTGTACCATATGGTTCCAAATGAAAGCTACCAGTACACTGGGATTGTCCAATTATGCTATTTATGTATTTTTCCTTTCATGAAATAAATGTCTTCAGAAGACACAGAGTGAAACTATTTAACAAAGAGAAACACATCTGAAGAAATGTGTTGCGTATTAACACATGTGTTACTGTCACAAAACACAAACAGTTTGCACTTTACTAAATAAAAAAAAAGCTTCAATATATCTTTTTTTCTCCAGCTCTCTTATGGATCATTTGCCTCAGAGATGAGTGACCAAACATTACTCTCCTGTGTGTACCATATGGTTCCAAATGAAAGCTACCAGTACACTGGGATTGTCCAATTACTTCTGCATTTCAGATGGACATGGGTTGGGCTCTTTGTTGTGGGAGACGACAATGGAGAACGGTTTTTGCAAGCAGTGGTCCCAATGCTTTCCCAGAATGGTATCTGTTTCGCCTTTATAGAAAGAACTTTTAAAAATACTGATAATGATGAAATCAGAGAGTTATTTTTAATATCGCTGAAGAAATTTCCGGCTCTCATGAGAAACAAAGCCAATGTATTTGTTGTCTATAGTGTATTTCCATCAATGCGACTGTTGAGTTGGCTTCTTCATATGACAGCCTTAGATTCACCTATAGGAAAGGTATGGATTGTGACAGCACATTGGGATTTCAGATCAACTACTCGTGAAAGAGACCACAGTATACAACCATTCCATGGTGCTATATCCATTGCAGTTCACTCAAGGCAACCACCGGGATTCAGAAATTTTCTTAAGCATATAAATTCCTCTTGGGCAAAAGGTGATGGTTTTATCCAGGACTTTTGGGAGCAGGCCTTTAGATGTTCATTGAAACATTCCAGTATGAGTGAAGGTGAGAAAAGTGAAGTAAACTGTACTGGGAAGGAGAAGCTGGAGAACCTTCCTGGACCTTTATTTGAAATGAGCATGACTGGCTACAGCTACAGTATTTACAATGCTGTTCATGCTATTGCACATGCCTTCCATGCTATGTATGAAGCCAGAATCAAACACCAAACACGGGTGGCTGGAAGGAAGCTGGAGCCTTGGAACCCACGGCCATGGCAGGTAATTGGACCCCAAAGACACAATTATTTTTTTTACAAGTAAGCTATCCAAACATTGTCTCCCCAAAATTTCACATAATGATATATTGGAAAACTGCATTCCTTCGCCTAAATCTTCACTGTCAGAAATGTATAGCTCATTGCTTCTCCAAAGAAATTCATCTGTTGATTTCATAATGCAGCTATATGAGCATGTGCTATTTTGGTATCTGAACTTTTCCCACTTCCCATTTATGCAAATAGCTGCTCAGTAACTTGTTTCTGTTCATTAATTTTATTTGTTTGCTATAGTTACATTCCATTTTTACAGAGCTACGCTATTGAGTGGCTTAAAAGTAGCTACATCATGAGAGGAGGGGGCTTGAGAAAAAGAAAAGATGTCCTGTACTCCCACTTTTCTACCAAGTTCTTTTGCACACCCACCATTTGCTCCATTCTTTCACCCATAGCTTTGCAAGGTATGGGGAAAGGGAGCAGACAAGAATTGCTTGGAAATAGGCAGGCATAAATTCAGGAAAGCCTGTCTGGGATATGGGTTTGTCAATCTCATTGAGTTGGATCCAAACATTTTTGCTCAATCTCACTAAACTTCCCTTCATAGTACAGACCCTATCCCACATGTCCTTTGTCCATATATGTCTCATTCATTCTGGTCATCTTCAGAGTCCCTTCCTTGGTTGCCCCCACCATCTAAAGCCAGGTGTGGGAACCCAGGAAAGGGCTTTCTTGGGCATAGCATCAAAATTTGGGAACTCCGTCCCCAGGGAGATTTGTTTGTGTTCCTCTGTCATGCCTTCTGCTGGCAGGTGAGGACTTTTTTGTTTCATTTGACATATCCTCAATAACAGTTATTGGCCTTTCTCCCTAGTTTTTGTGTTGTATGTTTACTCATTTCTATTGAATCATTTTATAATTTTAAAATTTGTGCACAATAGTTCAAATGTTTTAATGTCTTTGGGGAACCTGATTGGGTAGAAATGTGGCATTAACATGTTTTAAATAAATAAAAATAAAAAACTATCCCCAGCATACTGCTTTTGGTGGTCCATGGGGACCCCTTCCACTCTTTTTTTAACCAACAGAAAAGCTGTTTGGATTGAACCCAAAATGAGGATGTCAACAGCTTGTTTGTTTTATTATCCCTGAACTCAGCTCCATCTCTTTCTGAGGACCATCTCATTCAACAACAGTGCTGGAGAGACTGTGCATTTTGATGAAAACAGAGAAATATCTACTGTGTTTGATGTTACAAACTGGAGAACTTTCTCAAACAAGTCTTTTATTAGAGTGCAGATTGGAAGCCTCAGTCCTCATGCTCTTACAGGCAAGGAGTTAACTATTCAGGACGAAATCATTGTGTGGCACAGAACATTTAACCAGGTGAGATTCAGATGCAGAAGTTATTTGGTAAATACTTAGAAAAATCAATGACCAGCATAGGTATAAATCACAATTTGCCAGTCTTCCCTACCCATCTGTATTCAGTAGCATGTGCTGACTGACCCTCCTGTTAGCTTTTCCCACTATGCTACTGCAAATACAGCTTAACAGAGGCTTAAACCAGCTTTACAATCATCCCCATAGCCTAGATGTTCCAATGACTCTTTCTGTTGGGGAAAACCTAAAGTCTGGTGAGATTTCAATATTCCCTACTAGCAGTATAGGTGATTGAAGAAGATGTGGAAGAGTTAGTCTGTCTAGGACCCTCTTCTTCAAGACATGCAGCACACAATCACTAAAGAGAGTTAGTAAAGGACCAGGTGTTAATGCTGGGTTTGATGCTCCAGACTGTAGAACCGTATAGTCATCTTGAAACTCTCTTGAATGGAAAAGAGCTAGCATTGAAGTTCCAAAGCGGCAATGAAGTGTGATACTCACAAAGATGATTGTACTTTTTCATTAGGTAATAAAATCAAAACTATCAATAGCTAGTTTGCGGTAGTGCTAAGAGCGGCAGACTCTAATCAGGAGAACCAGTTTCGATTCCCCACTCTTCCACACAAAGCCAGCTGGGTGACCTTGGGTCAGTAACAGCTCTTTCAGAACTCTCTCAGCCCAAAAATTAAGCCTAGCTCACCACAAAAGGGCTAGTACTTAAGGCTGCCAGACAATCTTTGGATCTCCTGGCTATACTACACACAATGCCGTACAGTAATTATTATTATTATCGAAACTATCAATAAAATCAATCTTAAAGTGCTACGCTGATATTTCTGGACAGGTGCTGCCCTTTTCTGTGTGCAATGACAACTGCCATCCTGGTTACAGCAGGAGAAAGAAGAAAGGGAAGCCATTTTGCTGTTATGATTGTATTCCATGTCCAGAAGGGAAGATTAGTGACAAGACAGGTTGGATAAAATCTTCAGAGGTTTTAATGTATCCCATAACCCCTTTCACTGACAGAGACAAAGGATTGGAAGGCTTGTCAATATTGATCTGATTGCCAAGCAACCCCCAAACTGGCCATCCAGATCTCAGAACATAATCTCCTGAAATCTCCATAGGCATTTGTTTATTAATGCTTCAAGATGGATCCTGGACATCAGGTTGAAGTGAAGCATTCTCCGGGGCAATCCTGAGGACATTTTCTTGGTAGTATACCCCACTGTGTACACTTGAGTAGGATTCTGAGTAGACTGCTTAGGATGGCACTGATAATTCCATGAGCCTATTAAATGCTCTTCATAGTGAGGTCTAGTATTCACAATTGTATGTTTCAGTCACGTTTAAGATGAACACTTGATGAATAGCTTTTCTTATATTCATTATTATTATTATTATTATTATTATTATTATTATTATTATTATTATTATTATTATTATTATTAATTTATCGATAATCTTCAACAGAGTCCTATCCATATCTCATATCACCCTAAACCAATATCTGAGTTAATTATTCCATCCCGTTATTCTAATATACTCACAAATAAAATATAAACATATAAATTAATGTACATATTCAGATTCATTCAAAGGGTCAGTTTTTCCATCTAATCCTGTACAAGATATATATTATTTATTCTATCTTTCTATACTGCCCCTTCTCGGCGGCAGCCACTCCGATGTCCTCGCCTCTTCGGCTGCCAGGGATCGCTCCTCTGGCCGCGCCCGCTCGCCATCGCTTATTCTTATTAAAATGTGTGTGTTGAACTCTCTGGATTTTAGAGCTCCAGATAACCAAAGGAAAATTGTTTCATTTCTTGTTTCTGTTGTTTATATGGAGCACTGTGGATTTTCAAGTGGGTCTAGGGTGTCACTGAGAGCTAGCATAGTGTAGTGTTAGAAAGCCAGACTAAGATGAAACCCATGTTTGGGTCCCGACTCTGCCATGGAAGCTTGCTGGGTGACCTTGGCCCAGTCACACACTTTAATTTAACCTATCTTGCATGGTTATTGTGAGGATAAAATTCAGAAAAGGAGAACAATGTAAACTGTTTTGAGTCCCTCTTGGGGATAAAGTTGAGTATGAATGTAGTAAAATGAATGAATGGATGATATAAAAATAAGCTTTCATGTGGAAATCTCAGTCTAAAAGCTGTTTGTTCATCAAAGTCAAAATCAGTTGTCTAAAAGAGTGGACTCTTCCTCAACACTTGCTTTTTTGGCAAGGGACTAAAAGCCAGGGACTACTAACTCTATGGAAATATCCTACAATTTTAATAGGGGGAACAATGTGTCTGAAAGCCTATTGTTTAAGACTAATTAATGAGCTCTGGGTTGAAAAGAGATCTGAAACAGGGACTTTGTGGCTTATAGTCCACAAGCTTACACACTACACCAGCTCTCTTTCTCATCTGTTTGTCTGTCTGTCGAGTCTCTCTCTCACACACACACTTTTATTTCTTTGCAGATATGGATGCCTGCATCATATGCCCAGAAGTCTACTATACAAATTCAGATCACAATCAATGCATTCCCAAGATTATAAGCTATCTCTCATATGAAGAACCTTTGGGAATCACTCTAGCTTTTTCTGCTAGTTGTTTTGCTCTGACCACAGTTTTAGTGTTTGGAACCTTCATCAAACATCAGGATACTCCCATAGTCAAAGCCAACAATGAGACCCTCACCTACATTCTCCTCACTTCCCTGTTTCTCTGCTTCCTCTGCTCCTTGCTGTTCATTGGTCAACCTGTAAAAATGACTTGCCTTCTCAGACAAACTATTTTTGGCATACTTTTCTCTGTAGCCATTTCTAGTGTTTTGGCCAAAACCATCACTGTGGTGTTAGCATTTATGGCCACTCAACCAGGCTCTAGAATGAAGAAATGGATGGGGAAAAGACTGGCAATTTATACCGTCCTTTCCTGCTCTTCCCTTCAAGCTGCCATTTGTACTATTTGGCTAAGTACTTCACCTCCATTCCCAACTATGGATATGAATTCATTGAATGGGATAATAATAATGGAATGTAATGAAGGGTCAGTCTTTATGTTCTATTGTGTCCTGGGTTACATGGGCTTTCTCGCCGTTTTCAGCTTGATTCTGGCTTTCCAAGCCAGGACGTTGCCAGACAGTTTCAATGAAGCAAAGTTTATCACTTTCAGCATACTGGTATTCTGCAGTGTTTGGCTGTCCTTTATTCCAATGTACCTGAGCACCAAGGGCAAATATATGGTGGCTGTGGAAATCTTCTCCATCTTATCTTCCTGTGCTGGGCTTCTGGTTTGCATTTTTTCCCCTAAATGCTACATTATTGTGATGAGGCCCAAGCTGAACACTAAAGGGAGGCTAATGAGGAAAAATTAATACTCTGTGATCCTGTCTGCTGTTTTTGACATACATATTGAATTTAGCTGCGGGTTCTCTGAAGAGGATACAGTAGACAAACTCTAGAACTGAATTTGTAATAGCATATTCAGAGGTGTGGAGTGGAAAAATTTCTGAGATGGAAACTTTTCAAATGCTTTATTTTCTGTAGGAATTTTTCCATTTCTGAAGATTCTTTGCTCCATAAAATTAACAAAAATGGAGGGATGCTATTGCCAATGCAATATCAGGTAAGCTCAGTAATTTCAAATGTGTAAGTAATGTTTTTTTTGAGGGGATGATCCCTATATCTGTAAAAGGGCGGTCAGGGGATAAATCCACAAATTCATGTAATGGTCTCTAGCAACCCAAACAAGGACAGGAAACAGCAGAATGAGGTTAAGTAGTTTACTTACATGATTAATCCATGTAATGATTATGAAAATAGTCTACCATATTTTTTGGGTTAGCTATGCTAAAGCACCTCAATTTATGATGGCCAGCATTTTTGGGCAACTTCACCCTGTCTCCATACTTGACTAGCAGCTCTCTCAGCTTTGCTCATTCTCCTTGCTGTGATGAAGCAAGTTTCATGGCCTCCCCAGTATGCCCTACAGACTCCCAATGGATCAGTTGATGCTGCTGAATACCAAGTGTGTTCTATCCCAAGCCCACCCCAACCATACAATAAAAGTGGTCTGTTTAAGAATACAATCCACACAACAGTTTTTTAGGACCAACCAAATGAAGCATAACAGTGTGAAAACTTTCAAGTTAACTGGCTGTTAAAATAAGGTAAAATGAAATAAAATGCAAGAAATGTTTAAAAAGGAGAAAGGACAGCTCTTCAGAATGTGATGGTGAGTCCTAGTCAAGTGTTCATTGTACACTGAGCTGTTTCTAGTTTGAAGTTACACCCAGCTCTTTGGGGAGAAAGGCAATAATTTAGCCTGAGCTATTATAAGCAAACCACTTTGTTCCTACCAGGTTTCATCTCCAGACTATTTTACCACAGAAAATAAAAGTACCCTATGACAGAAGTGCAAAAGGCTGAGATAATATAATAAGCTCTTGAGACACAGTCTCAAGCTGTGTCACCTCTCACTACAGAAAAATAAGGTATCTTAGTCAATCTAAGGCTGTGGTCAGACATGCAGTTTGATCCAGTGTATCCCTGCCTCTAATTGATCCAGGGTTGTTGTTTTTTGTAACAGAACTGTGATCAGACTTACCCCTTTTATCACTCTTCAAAGTGCTTTCACCCCATCCTTGAGTGATCAAACGCAGCAGCCAGGGAGTGGGGCCATCAGTCTTGAAGAACCTGTTGCGATATGTAGTTCAATGGACTATCAGCCATTTTAAAAAAGTTTCTCCTTTGAGCATGCACACAAGCACTGATAAGCCTGCTGGGATATGTAGTTCACTGCTGTTCTCTCTCTCTAATCTTTTCAATTAACTTCTTCCCCAAAACACAGAAAACAGCTGAAGTACAGAGGCATCTTTCTTTGGAAGTTTTTATAAAGAAAACACAGTTTTGAGAAGACCCTGTGGGAGAGGAGGGGAGAGGGGTGTGAATATGCGCACATCACTAACTAGTAAAAAAATGGTGGCTGGAAAACAAGAGAGCAGTCAGACCTGTGTGATGGCTTGGGTGAGCAACAGAGAGATCAGACAACAGAAATTTTGGTTTGAAACCAACTCAGCCCCAAAGGACCAGACTTTCACAGGTATCAAAGAAACATGCTGTAAAGAGGAAGGAAACAAGATGCAGACAACGGGGGCACGACAGACAGATGTTGCTGTCTGATCGTGCATTTTAAATCTGGAATGGAACAGCAATGGCAATGGATCAAACTGTGCATCTGATCACAGCCTAAATAAAACTATGCCAGATCTGCTATTTAACTCTAATGCAAGATTGGGGGGAGGGGTTTGAAAACAGGAGCTAGGCAGTGATTATTCACTTGTGTGAGCAAAAGGCATTCTGCAAAGGCTCAAAAGCATGCATTCCTTAACACAGGCAACTTTCAGCAAGGAGGTTTATATGTAATGATTCAAACCAGCTATTAGGCTGAGTGAAACTGCCATTCATTTTTAAGCCCCCCCACACTGCTCAAAGCCTCTCCTTAGGCAAATCTCCCACTGCAAAATTGCATAAATCTCACTTTAGTTTTCTGCTCAGTGGTCATTATGGATATTTAAAAGGACCAAAACAAATAAAAATGAAAGAAGCAAAGGACCGACTGAGAAACTGCTATAGAACAGTCAGAGACGGATGAGTTTAGACAGGAAACCTAAATTAACCTAGTTAACCTAAGAGGCTGTAAGAGCCTCTTCCAGTTTCATCATCCCTGTTTACTTCCCACACAACCTATACAAAAACTGCCTATACATTTCACCTTTTATCTGCACAGCAGAAAAGTCTAGTATCTTACTTATGTTTTTTTTTTTAATGAAAGCTAGAATTTCAGAGGGGAACATGGCTATTTGTATCCTGCTTTTCTCCTCACCAGGGACCTGAAGTGGTTTACTGTTATGTCCTGGGCCCGGCATTGACTGACCAAGCTTGAAACCTAGAACAATAGATGATTAGGATCCTGGAAGGAACCTATAGACTAGGAACCACTCTGTAAATAGCCTATCATGGGTAGTGTGTGTGTGTGGGGGGTGGTGGTGTTGGGCAAAGATTTAAGCGGGTCTTTGGTCCTGCTAGAGTGGTCCTCAGTTTAAGCTGATTCACAATAAAGTATGAACTGATCGCTACTTGCATGTCGAACCCAGTATATTTCACTGGCGATGAGGATGGGATTCTGATGGGTGAGCCTGCTCCAGACAGCACTGCTTTCAAGAAAGCCCAGCAGGACCGCCAGATCTCCACCGCACACCAGGCCTCCATACCCTCAACTTCGGAGGCATCAGATGAGGAAGAGATGCATCAGGTCCTCCGCCTGGCTAACTGTGACTCGCGACCTTCAGCCACCACTGTATACCCAACGAAGGCCACCACACCATCCCCCTGCACCAGCTGTGGTGAGGACCATGAACGCCGCTCCTGCTGTTTCCGCTATGCTACCTGCAGGGCCTGTGCACATGCCTACTGCTCCAAGGGACCCAGGAAATGCACATCACCGCACCAGAAGTCAGCAGAGCTTCACACCACCACCGTCCGCCAACACGAGATACTGAACTTGCCCCGAGACACCCCTGATATAACCCTGACAGTGTTAATAGAGGGTATGCCATGTGAGATGGAACTAGATACTGGGTCCTCCATCTCCATCATATCAGAAGAGACTCTCCAGAGGCTCTGTCCACAGGGGGGTCCCTGCCTCAAACCTGCCGACTTCACCCTCAGAGGCTTTCAAAAGAACGAGGTGGCCATCAAAGAGTGGGGCAAGTTCCACGACAAATACCGCAAATTTGAGGGATTGTTGTTAGTGGTGGAAGGGTGGCTCACCAGCTTACTAGGACTATCTTGGCTCTCGCCCTTGGGTTTTGAAGTAACGGGGGTGAACTATGTGGCCTCCAAAGACTAACAGAGGGTGTGCGATGAGTTCCCAGCGGTTCCCAGCTCGGTCGCTACACTGGACCTCTGTTCACTCTTCAGCTCAACCTGGAGATGTGGCCAATTTGGCTGAAGGCCAAACACTTCCCCTTTGCCCTAAGGCCCAAGATAGATGGGGAGCTGGATCAGTTGGTAGCTCAAGGGGTTTTGGAGCTGGTCCCACACACCTTATGGGAAACTCCCATCATGACCCCGGTCAAGCCCAACAGAGATGTTCGCATCTGCACAGACTATAAATGTACTACAAACAAGGCTCTACAGGATCACACCTACCCAGTCCCCATAGTCAGCCATGTCCTAGCATCCCTCGCGGGTGCTAAGGTTTTTGGGAAACTGGACTTGGCGTAGGCCTACCAACAGCTCCCAGTAGACGATGTGACCGCAGAAGCCCAGACGATTGTAATGCACAGGGGTGCATTCCAGATGCGGCAGCTACAGTTTGGGGTCAGTGTAGCCCTGGGAATCTTCCAAATTCTAATGGACTCTCTCCTTAATGGGATTTCCACGGTCCAGCCCTTTTTGATGATGCTTTAATCACCGCACCCATGGACAAGGAATTTGCCAATCAACTGCGCACCATCCTACAGTGGTTCCAAGAAGCTGGCCTCAAAGTAAAGATAGAAAAGTGCCTCCTGGGGGTTCTGTGGGTCAAGTAACTGGGTTTCTCCATTGACACACATGGCATCCATCCTGCAGCTGACAAGGTCTGTGCCATCATCAGCGCCCTGACCCCCACATACAAGCAGGAACTCCAAGCCTTCCTGGGCATGCTTAATTTCTATCATTCATTCCTGCCCCACAAAGCAGCAATTGCGAAGCCACTGCACTGCTTCTTAACAAAAGGGCCCCCTGGGTCTGGGGCCAGAATCAAGCCATTATGTTCCGGGCTGTCAAGGAGCTGCTCACCTTGAACACCATCCTGGCACACTTTGATGAAGTGCTGCCTGTCATGCTTGTCTGCGATGTGTCCCCATATGGGGTAGGAGCCATCCTCAGACACCAGTTAACCAATGGCAGAGAGGTTCCTTCTGCACCTTGTCCTCAGCTGAACACAATTATGCACAGATGTCAATCATGGCGATGTCAATCATGGTGAGAGTTAAGAAATTCCATGATTACCTCTACGGGTGGCCCTTCACCATCATGACTGATCATAACCCCCTGCTGGGCATGCTGGCCCTGGACTGCCAAATGCCGCCAAATGCCGCATATGCTATCCCCCAGGGTGCTGCACTGGTCTATCTTCCTAGCGGGCTACCAGTACGCTCTCCTCCACTGCCCGGGAAGGCAATGGGACACACCGATGCACTCAGCTGCTTGCTGCTACCCTCTTGCAACTCAGACCCTGCTCCTGCCCACCAGATCATGCTCCTCAAGGACCTTCCCAACCACGCTCTCCAGGTATCAGACATGTCCTGCCACACTACTAGGGACC